AAAAACTATTTTACTTTTAATATAAACTCTTTAATAGCAGCACTAATAAAGTAAGCTTTAAAAGTAAAAAATACTTTTTCTTTACTTATTCTTAAAGTTTAAAACACTTATTACACCTTTATCTTTTTATTACTAGTAATAAAGTACATTTATAAAAGCTTAATTATTTTTTTTATGTTTTTAAACTAAAAGTTGTCTAATTTAGCTAGGTATTTAGGCTCTAGGTATTCCTTTGCAATACTAGCAGTGTGTTCTTATACTAACGCTATGTGTGCGCGCTTACTCTAATAGTAATCTAAATTAATATTAAGTCTATTTATAATAAAGGCTTGCTATTATTTAAACATAAGTTTTTTACTATTTATAAAGTTTTTAATCTTAAGTGTGCGTTTAGTAAGGTAGCTTTAAAAAAGCTTAAAAGTACCTAAAAAGTCTCTTACTATTAGTGTAGTATAAGTAATTTAAGGCATTATTAGAGGTAATTTAGTAGTTAGTAGAGGATAATTAAGACTAATAGTTTTTAATCTAGTTAGCTATTTAATTTATGCTCTTAATTAAGCAACTTAGTTCTTAAGAGCTATACTACTAAAGTTTAACTTTAAATTTAGTAAGTTTTTAGCTTTAGGTTCTATAAAAGAGAGTTTAGCTATTAAGGTTAGTAGTAGTTTAGTTTTAAAAGTAGGTATCTTACTTTAGCTATAGCTAGAATAGGTTGCAGTCTTTATAATAAGATCTAATAGTAGTTAAAAGTTAGGCATTAGTAGTTGTTCTTAATTCTAATAAGTTATTAGTAGTTTTTAAGTTTTTACTTTAGCACACTTTTTATAACTTTTCTAAAAGTAATTTTAATTATAGAGGATAAGAAGTTCTAAACCTAAAAGCTTTAGTTAATAAAAGGTTTTTAAGATCTTATCTATACTAACTAAATAATTTAATATAATAGTATGTAAAAAATTATAACCTAAACTAAATTAAACACTTTTTAGAACTTAAACATAGTTAAATAAATAATTAATATAATGTTATTAATAAGGCTATTACTAGTAAAAGTAAGTTTTTTAATATAATATAATAGCGCAGGCAAGACAATAGGTCTAAATGCAGTATAAATCTACTTAGAGGCATATAGAAGTGCGTGGGGACTTAGAGACCTAGGAATACTAATAACACCTATAGGCCTTGTACGTAGGATATTAGAAAACTACTAAGCTAGCTACAGGGGCAAGGTGCGACTAAATACATGAGGGAATAGGGGTAACTGCGGGGGACTAGGTCAAGTCATGGTCGGGGCCGATACAGGGACCCTTCGGATAGGATCTGAGCGACCCGAGATGGAACGATTCGTAGAATTGTTACAAAGGCCTTCTAGGTGTAGTTCTATTTAGAATATTATTTCTATGTTAGTCTAAAATACTTTTTTATTATATTATATATAAAAGTAACATCTTATAAAAAATAGGTAAAGGTTTTTTAGTAATTCTCTAAAAGGCTTTAAAAAGGCTAGCTTTAAAGTCTTTTTAGCTATAATACTTACTTTTTTAGTTAAGATATTTTAAATCTTTACTAGCTTTACTTATAACTTATGTATTTAATAAGCATAACTAGTAGCCTTTTAGAGGCTTATTAGTTTAAAGAGGTTTTATAATTTTATTACTTTTTAGTAAAAGCTTATAATTTTTTATTAAAGGCTTACTAGTTTACTAAATTTTTTACTAATCTACTAAAGTTTTTTAATGTTGTCCTAGATTAAATTAATCTGTTCTGCTAAGACAGCTTTACTTTAGGTAGAGACTTCTATAGATTCTAACAAGGCTGTGTAGGCTATGTTAGAATCTAGATTATGTTAAGAGGTATCTATACTTTTTAAAAGAGTAGTGTTTAATGTTATAATTCTTACTTTATAGAAGCACTTAAGTCTTATAGTATTTCTAGGGGAGAAGTAGAACAGATAGTAGGGGCTAACAGTAGGGTGTACAGTCCTACGTATAGGCTAATAGGCTCTTAGAGGGGAATAAAGTAACTAGATTATAGTTTACCCTTAATGCAGTAGTAAAAAAGCTAGGTTAAACAGTCCTGTTAGATAGAATATATAGTGTAAGATATATAAATAGTATTATAGCTCTTTAGAAAGCTAAATGCTACTTAGTCTATGTAAAGAATAAACTAAACATTAAATATACCTTCTAAAAGTTGTTTAAAGTAGGAACTATATACATGTACTAGAGGTGCTAAGGGGAGCTAGAGAAGTTTATAGGAGCCTGCTAAAAGGAGCTCCCCTAAGCTCTCTTAAGCTCCCTAGACTTGCGGCCTATCCTTCCTATTAGACAACGCATTCCTCCATTACTGCGGGCAGCTGTGCCGCTTCCGTGTCCTCCAACTGGTCCATAAGCGAGCCCTGCCCCAATCCAGCTAGATTGTGGAGCACTGCCGGTGGAGTTACGCTGGTCCAACCGTAGACCGTAACATTAACCTCCTAGCTAGCACAGCAGAAGGATATATATAGACGGATAGCTGTACGCGACAATTATTAATAAAGCTGTTACTAGCAAAAGTAAGTCTTCTAATATAATATAACAGCATAGGCAAGACAATAGGTCTAAATGCAGTAGGAATCTACTTAGAGGCATATAGAAGTGCGTGGAGACTTAATAACCTAGGAATCCTATTAACACCCATAGGCCTTGTACAAAGGATATTAGAAAACTACTAAGCTAGCTACAGGAGAGAGGTGCAACTAAATACATAGGGGAATAGAGGTAACAGCAGGGGGCGGGGCCAGGCCGAGTCAGGGTCGGGGCCGATACAGAGACCCTTCGGATAGGTTCTAGGCGACTCGAGATAGAACGATTTATAAGAATTGTTACACCTGTAGCTAATATAGATAATTATTTATGCGCTTAGCATAATCTAGGCTATATTAGTATAAACTAGCTTAGTATGTTTATAAAGTGTTATCTAAAGCTTAAAGTAAAGTTTTAAGTATAAGTATAGTTAGTAGATATTTAGCTTATTATAAAGCTTATTTTATTAAAGTTGTATATTGTTGAATGGGCTCCGACAGCTAGCTGCTTATGGTATGAGCACTTAAGTAGCAAGAGTAAGAGTGGTGTACAGTGTGCACAGCGTACAAGGTAGGTAAGGTGAGGGCAACATGTTTCTAGTTCTATTGCTCTTTTCTTTCCTCTGTACAGAGGAAAAGAGGGATATCTAGATGTTCGCGCACAGAGGTTCGCGCACGAGCATCATGTGACATAGATACGTGGTCCTGCTCGTGCGCGATCGCTCGTATCCAGATCGTGACGCTGCTGCTGCGTACAGACATATATATTATTATTTTAAATACTATACTTAGCTTTAAATTACTCTAAGATTTTTATAAAAAGCTTTTTTATAGTTTCACTTACACTTAAACTTATAACAGCTAAGGTAAGATAATAGGTTTAAATGTAGTAACATACTACACTAATTTATAAATGTCTTAGAAAAGCGGAGCTTAGAATACTAAGAGGTATACATTAGTAGTAAAACTTTAACTTTAACTATCTCTATTAGTTTTAATTTAAATTAGATAATTAATAGCTTATTTTAAAGCTTATTTTAACTTTTATATTTTCTCTTTATAAATTTAATCTATTACACAAATATTTAGCTAGCTAATTTAAATAGAATTAAACAATATTTAAAAGCTAATAACTTTAGTAACATACTTTATAAGCAAGTTGCTTACACACCTAAGTTGCTTACTTTTGCTAAGACTCTACTAAACTACTTTTCTTATACTAATGCATTTCTAACAACACTACTTAGACATGCTAAAAGAACATTAGATATAGCTTACACTCTAGGCTTTTAAATAAGACGTAATACTCTTAAAGCAACATGCTGCAGCTATATATAGAGTTTTTTAAAAGATAATAAATAACTAACACACTAGATAACTTTTATAAGCTAATTTTATAGCTAACTTATAAAAGCTAGCTAGGTAATAATAAAAAGTAGGTAATTATTAAGCATATACTTAAGCTATATGTGTAAGGATTTTCTTGTTAGCTAGTAGCTATAGCTAATATAGCTAATTCTTTACCTGCTAAGCATAATCTAGGCTATTTTAGCATAAACTAGCCTAGTATGTTTATAAAGTGTTATCTAAAGCTTAAAGTAAAGTTTTAAGTGTAAGTATAGTTAGTAAATATTTAGCTTATTATAAAGCCTATTTAATTAAAGTTATATATATTATTATTCTAAATGCTATACTTAGCTTTAATATTTTTTATAAGGCTAAACTAGCTTTAAATTACTTTAAAAATTTTATAAAAAGCTTTTTTATAGCTATAGTTATACTTAAACTTTACTTTATGCTTTAAATAATACTTTATAAATAAACTAAGCTAGTTTATACTAACATAGCTTAAATTATACTTAGCATGCAAAAAATTAGCTATATTAGCTATAGCTGCTAGCTAAAAGCACAACCTTTATATATATATAGCTTAAGTATATGCTTAATAATTACCTACTTTTTATTATTACCTAGCTTTTATAAGTTAGCTGTAGAATTAGCTTATAAAAGTTATTTAGTATATTAGTTATTTATTATTTTTTTAAAAACTTTATATATAGGTATAGTATATTACTTTAAAAGTGTTATGTTGTATTTAAAAGCTTAAAGTATAAGCTATATTTAACATTATTTTTTAACACATCTAAGTTATGTTATTTAAAATGCATTAGTGTAAAAAAAGTAGTTTAGTAGAGTCTTAGCAAAAGTAAGCAACTTAGGTGTGTAAGCAACTTGCCTGTGATGTACGTTACAGCTTTAAAATATTACTAATATTAGTTAGTGTGAGGTAGTTTTAGAGTGTTATAGGCGGAATTGCAAGCTTTTATATAAATTTAGTAGAGGAAAGAAAATTTAGAGGTGTTGCCAAGACATTGCATGGATTAACGCATATAATAAATCCGAATTTCCTGCACAACAACTAACGGCCAACGACTAAAGACTCATTCTTTATTAAAAAGTCTGGGAATTGTGTCCACCACTTTTCAGATATATCTTAGAGCACATATTTGTGTTGTTCGTGTTTTTGTGTAACCTTGAATCTCATCCCAGAATCTCGCGAGCTACGAAGAGGATTTTTCCAGCCTGGAATTCGCCTCAATCATATTCAACACTATGTCCCGTCCTCTAACGACCTCTGACTTGATATTTCCATCCCAATCGCATTCCTTCTCTACCACCCTTCATTCCCTAAAACGCTCTGCGCTCTCCATTCACAACCGTCTCTCCTCCATCTCCCAAGACTCCGAATACATCCTCTCCATCTCCGAAGCCTATCATCTACCTCTTGTTGCAAACGAGCGTTGCGGGAGCTGGTATATTCCGCTCGAAAAGAAGAGTTCTAGCGCCTACTTCAAGAGCACGGATGGGCATATGAATGAATGGTGTTTCAATTTGCGGAGGCTCAATTTGCAGATTTTAGAGCCGATTGCAACAAATGGAGGGCAAGTGAATGAATGATATGGATTTCGCGCGACGGGGTAATATTAATATGGGTGTAGGTGTGTTATTGTCGACTCGACTAGGAGGGGTAAAAGTGAGTCGAACCACATGTTATTCCGTTGTTTGCTAGGAATTGACAAGAATATCAGGCATGCCCGATGCACTCTCCAAAACCATTCCAATATGGTGTTGCGTGTTGAACCGCGCAATATTTCCAGCCCTAGGACATCATCCTTTGTATACCCCTGGACATGCGGTCTCCCCGTCAGAGCATGCTCAGATTGAGCAGCGTATAGATGGCTTCGTTAGGCAGTTCCTCGTAACGTTTATTTTCCCCGGGCTTTCACCATTTGGCTGACGAGATCTTGCTAGGAAATTTGCAAACCAGACATTGAGACGCTATCTAAAACCCTCAAAAAGCCTCTGCGGCCGATCTGGGTTACGCAGCAATCTAATCTTCCGGAACGAGCTCCTCCGGAATCCAAGGAGTATAATCTGGTAGTGCTGTGCACCGCATCACGACGCGTGCATGGAGGTGAAGTATCTGAAGGAGGCTACATTCAAGGGGCCGCCGATGATCATGAGGGTTGGGCTTGTGGGCTTACTCCGATAGTGTTCTGGAAAAACAGGGGGAAGCTCCTCAGTACAAATGAGGAAGAGCTACCAGATTTAATCGCCGAGCTTATCAAGGAAGAGAAGGGACCGGATGCCGTACCGATTTTGATTCCACCAACGTCGAATATATCTGTTTCGTCAACGGCCAATCTGGATATCGAGCCCTTCGATATAGTGATAAGCTGCACGCCCGAACCCCTGACAACAACTAATCCAGAGCATCTAAAGAAGAAGTATCTGCACTTAACTTGTGGAATGGGAAAGCTCGGGTCACGAGATCTTCGGTCGCAACTTCCCCGATTACGTGACTTCTTCGGGGCCCTGCCAACGCAGCTGCAGAGTATATTAATATGCTGCCCAACAGGAAAAGACCTGTCAGTTGGCGTGGCTCTAGCCATATTGTGCCTTTACGCAAACGACAAAGGAGATATCTCCCCGCATCCCACTGGATGGAAAATCGACAAAACCTTTATCAAGAAACGGTTAGCATGGATAACAACATGTTCGCCGATTCTCAATCCCTCACGGGAAACGCTGAAAGCTATGAATGCCTTCTTGATGCCGGATCCCTCAGCTACCAGTCGGGCGGCTCAGGTCGATGCTCCAGCATCCAAGTTAGTTCTAATTAAAGTATCCACGGAAGTGCAAGCTCTGGAAAACACATCTGTCCATGGCAAGCAAAAGGCTGAAGTGAAAAGCTCACCTTCTCCAACGCTTTTCGCAAACCTCCTCAACAATCAAAAACCTTGGATCTTTACCCGCACACTAACATCGGCCCTACCTACACATCCGTCTGGAACAGTTCACGGCACCGCAATATTCACACCATATATTACAGACTCAACCACTCCGACCACATCTCCCTCCACACCTACCTCTGCCTCTCTGCACACACACACATTCCTCTACTCCGAAGAAGGTGAATTCCTCACAACCACAAACCTCCGACTCACCGTGCATCGGAAATACATATACCAGCTTGAGCAGCCTAACCCCATCCGCAGGCCCGACCCCAACGCCAACAAAGAATTAAAACCCTATATTAGCGTACATTTCTTTGATGAGGAAAAACCCGCTGCTGGGAAGGATGCAATTGGGGGTGTATTCGTTGAGATGGGGGATCTAGTCAAGAATCTTGATGGGGGTTGGGACGCTGGGAATCAGGAGAGACATTTATGTGATCGGGATTTGTACACTGCAAGTTGGAAGTTCGGGGGTGGTATGGTGAAGGGTGGTTTAGATGCTGAGGAGGGCATGAGAGAGGGGGAAAAGGAGGTTTGGTGGGAAGTATATTATGATGTAAAGGGGCCGAAGAAGGATTACGTCAGTGAGACACGGTATAGGAAGGAACTGGAGGGAGAATAACCAAAGTTTTATTGATTTAAGTGTGCATGTATACAGATGCAACATGACCCCAAAGACACGTAAACCCGACAATCTATTTCCATGTATATCCATATGGGTATCAAGAATTTCTGAAGCAAACGCCGAAAATGGGTTTGGACCACAAATAGGCCTTAGCTGTAACTTCCCATTGTCCCAAATGCAATCGGCTCCAACCATGCTCACAAGCCGGACCCGAGAAGAGCCACAACTCCGCTAGTCATCAATCAGTCCTAAAATTTCCACACCCTCCTCCTCTTCAAACACGACGGGCTGCTTCCCCTTTCTCTTTTTCTTTCGTGAATTCTCCTTCGCCGATCCATCAACCGCCTCATCCTCACTAAGTTCCGCACCCGCTAACCTCCTCTGTCTCTTCTCCTCGTCAAACCTGGCCTTGGCTGCATCAATCTCGACTTGCATAGTCTTCCTCTCTTCCTCAAGCTCGCGGTAGACAGCATCGACATCCACGAAAGCGTCGTCCGTCTGACCGGTTCTCTCGAGATATTTCCTCCATTCCTCGTTTCGATCATATTCAGGATCGCCTTCGCGACGAAGCGCAGCTTTAACAAATTCCGGATTCTCGCGCTCTTCGCGGGTGAACTTCGTTTTAATAGATCGACGCGTGGAACCGGGGAACATAGTGCTGATCATCTTGAAATCCGTGCCACATATCCTCAGGCCCTCGTAAAATTGTTCCGTAGCCTCCGCAGACCAGCGCATCGGCTTACCCTGCGCAATCCCCACGTAGTCCTCAGGGAAACGTTTGTTGTTGAACATCCAGCTCCGATTGTTGACTCTCCTAGTTAAGTCATCGTCTTCGACTACCTCGTAGCCCTCTCTCTCCCGTTCGGCATCGCCATCCCTATCGATGACCCCAGAACCTTGGACGAACCGAATCTCACCGTTGATCACATGCATTTGAAGTCCCCCGTTCTGCTCCGCCTCTGTTTCTCCATCCAATGCTTCGTTTCTGGTCCCTGTATTCCGGCTCCTCATCATAAGGGCCCTCTCTTCTTCATCTCGACGACGCTGAGCTACTTCCTTCCAATTAATCGTACGCATTTTCTTTTCGCGCTCAGACAGCTTTCCAACCTTGATATTATGGGATGCGAGATCATCCATAAAAGTGTCTTCGGGCTCGATTTCTCGGTCTTCGGCGTCAGACGGGGTTCGAGCTCGTTCTCGCGGCTTGCGTGGTTTCCTCTTCCTACGTGGAGGTTCCCCATCATTTTCTGCGCCGGATGCTTGTTCTTGCGTGTCTTCAGATACATTCTCGGCTTGTCGTGGCGCCCATTTCTTTCTTATCGATGCCCTCTGCTGACTCGGCTGAGCCTCATCGTAGTCGGCAGGGACTTCTTCCTCGGTTCCTCCGCCTAGTGCATCTGCATTTTTCCTTTTGATGCCTTTGTCTTTCCTTACTTTGCGTGGTTTCTTTGCTATGGGTTCAAATGCCTCACCCTCTGGAGTCGCGTCGGTAGCCTTCCTCTTGCCTTTCGCTCTCTCGCTGAGGGGTTTCGATCTCGTACGGCTCTCCTCACCCTCCGGTTCATTCTCAGCTGTAGGAACAGGACCAGGTCCAGTCTTACGCTTTGATCGAGACTTCACTGGTGGACGTGTGCTTGCGCTTGGTCTTATGGCTTCCTCCTCATCAGCATAGGCGTGCTGTCGGTTTACAGCAAGCCATGGGAGTACCCTTTTCCTCCTCTTCGGTTGAGCCTGACTGTTGGAAGGCGTTGCATCGGTTGGTTGTCTTGTGCCGTTTGTGCCAGCGACACTTGGAGATATTGCCGCAGGTGTCTCGGATGAAGTTGCCTGTGTGTTTGTGTCTTTCGCGGCCAGGGCACTTGCAGAGGTTTCCGCGGGCGTCTCAGAGGGAGCTGTACCTAGTGCGCTAGGTGCTATGGCAACCTGGACAGGCGTTGGGACGAGAGGAGGTACTGTTGTAGTGCTTTTAGCCGTTTGTTCAGAGGAAGTTTCAACTGCAGCTGGTGTTTCCGGCACATTTTGCGAGGACAAGATCGATTGGACATTGGGGGAAGAGGGAGGTGGGTGTGCCGTCACTGGCGGGGCAGGTCGCGCGGTCAACCCCTCTTGGGATGGAGATGGCCGAGGGTGCGGAGGTGATGTCGGCGCTGCTGGCGTTGCCTTCCCTGCGAGGATACGCTCCTCGGAACTAGCTGGGGGCTCTACTCTCCGCCTCTTCGAAGACCTGCCAGACTCAAGGTCTTCTTCGGCCCGGCGAGAAGGTGATAGACGAATCGTGGTCTCAATATGGTCATTTGTATCAGCCTGTTTTGCCTGTGGAGCATCTTGACGGGCAGGCTCTTGGGTGGCAGCTGGCGTGGGCAGAGCTAGCTGCGGTGCTGGCTGCGGTGCTGTCGGCGGCTCTTGGAGGGGTGCTGTCGGCGGCTGTATCTGCGTCTGTTCAGCTTGCGGAGCAGCTGGTGCGGGCGACTTCTCAGGCGGAGGTCGAGTAGCTTGAGCCGGACCTGGGCGCCGACGTGCAGGGGCTTTGGGTTTGAAGGCGCGGCCGGCACCGCTTTCTACGCATACATTTAGCACTCAGCCAAAACGGCTCTCGAAGCGGCTTACTGTTCACAAAGGCACTGAAGCCGCTGGCGGCTGGCTTTCCGGGCTGTTGCTTGTCAGGAGCCTCGGGCGGCGGCTGCGAAGAGCCTGCTTCTGAAGCCATGGTCGGTACTCTTCTCCATGAATGGGCCGTAATACTAAGGTTAAGTGAGGCCAGGTGGGAAGTGCAGAGAGCTCAACGGCTTGAGCGTCGCCAATTCACCAAATCAATGGAAGCCCGGGCCACCTCTGCCAAGACGCTAGCGCAGCACTAATTGCTCACGTGACCGTTAAAGGGATTCTTCCTCGTCGACTCTTCGAACAAGACACAACACTGTCAATCCCTCTCTTGACGGGCTCACACGACCCCTCGGCTCTCGACCCTCCTTCACCGTCGCTTCTTCCTTGTTTAGTTCACTCTTTCACCGTTCCTTTCATGACCGTCGCGGCTCGCTTTTGAAGCCTCCGCCCCCTCCCCAGAACCTCCTCTCCGGCTCTGATGAGGCTCGAGGCAAGAACCGTCGCAACCCCATCACTTGACGTCGTCAAGATGGAGGACCGCAAGAGGCCCGCTGGGCCTGACGATTCTGCGCCGCCGTCAAAGAGGCAAGCCGTGACTGTCAACGGTGCGAAGTCGCATCATGACGCTGACCCGCCCTGGAAAGATGACATCGAGGTTCGCCCCCAAGTCCGCCTCCATCCCCCATCGCAATCGACGAGAGCGACCGCTAATACTATAACGCGCGATAGTCCTTCCAGAAAGATGCCATCCTCCGTCAGATGCGCGAGTACAAGCGTGAGAAGGGCATCCTCGAGTCCCAGATCGCCGACATGGAGAAACAATCTAGATACCACGACGATCATCTGCGCATTATCGATGCATGGTTCGACCAGGTTAGTTGATACACCTTGCAGGCACGTTGCTGTTGATACTGATTGGTTGTGTAGATGCTCGATGCTATCAAGATCATGGTCGAAGGGCAACTTCCGACCCCTCCCCAAAGCGGTGCGTGCCTGCAAGGTCCCCAAGAAGGGTACGATGAGAAGTCTGACTGTCTTCCAGGAAACCCTGCCCCTTTTCCGGCTTCGTTGCTCTATGAAGATAGCGTGAACTTTTCGAAGCACCTGTCCTCTCGCTCTGAGAAGATCAAGGCCACACTGTCCAACTTCTTCACTAAGTTTCCTCCAACGTCTCCTCAGTTAGCGGATATTCAACAGCAATTGTCAAAGCAGTTAGCAAAGGAGAAGGAACACATTTGTGAATTGCAACGCGTCATAACAGAAAAGGAACAAATGTCCGAGCGCTTTCACATGGCAACACAACGGTATATGCTTGCTGAGAAGAAGATTGATCGGATCAAGAGCGCCCAAGTTCAAAAACTCGAAAAGCAGGCCATTGCTACAAGTGTTAAAGAGGAGCCCTCATCTGCAAGCAACGGTGCGGAAGCTGTCAATGGTGTCTTGAGTGGTGCAGCTAGCGAGGAGGTGGAGACTGCTCGAAATGAGGCTGTGGCAGAGGCTGCTAGGAGGAGGGAACAGCTGGAGCAGCTGGAAGCCGAGAATAAGAAGTTGACCGAGCAGGTGACCTCGCTGAATGTGAAGTTGGCTGGGCTATCTGACGATGATTACGCCAAAACGGATCTTTTCAAAGCTCTCAAGTCACAGCACGAGGATGTGATTAAGAGAATCAACAACCTAGAAGCCACAAATATTCAACTTCGGGAAGAAGCTCAAAAATACCAGGCAGAAAGGACGGCATACCGCATGCAAATCGACGAGGAAGCCCGTGCTACACTGGGTGAGACTGAGGGCAACTTGGTGAAGGCTGAGGCTGACCTTACCCGAATCCGTAATTCCCGGGACGACCTCCTGGCTAGGGTCGCGATGCTAGAGGCTGGGCACAAGGATAACGAGGCTTCGAAAGAGCAGGCAAGAGAGCTTGTAAGCGCACGGGAAGATCGCATTTCTGCCCTTGAGTCTGAATGCGAGCGACTACGGCTCCAAATGGCCGAGCATGAGGCTGCTGATGGTCAACAACCAGCAGCACTCGATAGCATGACACCCGACGAGCTGCGGAATAAGATTGTGGCTTTGGAGACCCAGTACAAACTCCTGCGGGACGAACTGCCATCAATGGAGGCCGCTTGGAAGAAAGCACAGGCTATTGCTAGCAAGAAGGTCGCTGAGCTTGCGGATTGGGAGGAAAGGATTGCAAGGGCAAATGCGGACAAGGCCAGGGCAGACCAGAAATTCTTTGCGGCGATGAAGACAAAAGAGTCCTTGGACCAACAACTGCGTATTTTGAAGGCGCAAGTGAGTAAGAGCACAGAAATTGTTGCACAACTAAAAGAGGCGGATTCTTTTAGTCGATCCCTGGTGGACAAGCATGAGAAGCAATTGGCCGAAATGAGAGCTCAGATGGAGGAGCTATCAATTCAGCACCGTGCACTCCAGCAGAAATTCAGCGAGGGTGCCATTACGTCTGAGGCTCAGGCCAACCAGATTATCGAGCTCAAGAAGCTTGCCGAAGCCAAGGATACAACTTGCCTCGCTGCAAAGCACGCCCAACGAGAATCCGAGACGGAGCGAGACAAGTTGAAAGCCCAAGTAGAAGGGTTGGAGAAGCAGGTTGATGTTTGGAAGAAGAAGAGCTTAGGCAACCAGTCCGAGGATACTATCTTGATGCGGGTACGTGCAGCCATACGCTTGTCTCATGTCGCTGTTGCTAATTTGGGATGCAGTCCATGCTTCAATGCCAAGTCTGCAAAAACAACTTCAAGAACACGGTCCTCAAGACGTGCGGCCACGTTTTCTGCGACGACTGCGTCCAAGACCGACTTGCACTCCGTGCACGCAAATGCCCGAACTGCGGAAAGGCTTTTGGCGGTAACGATCTCATGCGGGTACATATCTAATCCACCCCTGCGCGTCCACTCACTTGTTCAAAGTCACTAATCCAGTCACAATTCCAGTACTGGGTTTAATTGTACAGTATCTCTGTTTCGACGTGGCTACACAGGCTACGATTCCTTTTATGCCGGACAGGGGACACTTTGTCTTTCAGCTTTTGGCGATTGCGGGATCTGTGGTATACGGGGTTGGGGCGACGGATGGCGTCGGAGTTGGTGGCCTATTTTCCGGCGGAACAACAACCTTTTACAGCATCTTTTGCAGCGTCTCTTTTCCTGCCTGGAGGCGTGGCATTTGTTGCATGTGTTATTAGATCTCTTCTTCCTTGCCTCCTCTCTCTTTGCCAATACTTATTGCTATGAATGAGATGCGGATGCTAGGATCAGAGGAGCGTGGTTACTGACACTGACTGGCTGGCATTTGCTTGGAGTATGTGGATGGATGGGGTGAATGGATAGGTGCAATGGAATAAGACACAAATAGTTCATATTCTCGGTGTGTTTGTGTTCCTTGTGTTCGTTGTGGATGTGGGTCTATTTGATAGTGATTCGATGGCATGCAAACTATGGGTATTTGTGCGTGCGAGCTCCAAACATGATACCCGTGTCCTCTATCAGCCCAAGTTCTAAATTCTGCAGACATCTAAAAGGCGTATCTTCAATGTCTCCCATCAGAATCCTGGTCCCCAAACGGATAGTTGAATTTCAGTAACGCATTCAGTCCACCAACCCAATGATCCTCTTCCCTCTCCTCCGTCCCTACAGTCCCTCGCACAATACTGGGCACACCGCCGCACCACTCTTTCGCAGAATTTCGCACTCTTTCCCCAAGAACCCGCACTTCCATTCCAACGCCGATCCCCTCTGAAATACGCTTTCCGTCTATCGAGACTTCAACTTCGCGACCGCGGTTTTTCTCGCCGAGGCGCAGAGTGATGGGAGTGTTGGCGGGTAAGACTAAAGGACGGAAGGAAAGAGAGCGGGGACATATGGGTGTCAGGAGGAGTGAGGGCACGAGAGGGTGTACGATGGAACCACCAGATGAAAGCGAGTATGCGGTTGATCCGGTTGGCGAACTTATAATCATGCCATCTGCGACTGCCTCAGTCAGGAACCGGTTGCCGACATAGACGTCGATAATTTTGAGGTGGGGAGAAGAGCCTCGGTGCACGATTACTTCGTTGAGGGCGTAGGTATCGCCGTCGTCACTTGCACCATTGATGCGAGCCCCATCTGGGCCGAATACGCCGACTTTGAGCCGATTGCGCAGTAAGATGCGGGCGTTTCGTGAGGAACCCATGGCTTTTCCGCGGATGGCAGCGTAGGTTAGGGGCTTGTCGAGAGGGTCGGAAGGGGAGGTTGGCGGGGCGGAGGGGACGATGTCTTCGGACGCAAGATGCTCGTCTGGGAACTCGAGATGTGCGTATGCATCGCTGGCGCCAGACATATACACCTCCCTAAACGCGCGTTTATATTCCTTGAACTTCCATTCCCCGAGAAACCCTATCGTGCCCATGGCGAAACTGAGGATAGGTGGGACAAGCGCGGAATGTGCGAACAAGCTAGAAGCTCGTAGGATTGTGCCATCGCCCCCAAGCGTGCATACTAGATCGGTTTTATCCCCTAGGTATTCTGGAGAGTGGTTTGAGGTCGGCTCAGCGTAGGTGTATACGGGGAAGGGAACGCGGGAGTGGACTTCTTCGGAGGATTCGGGAGAGAGGATTATGTTGATGGCGGGGTAGGTGGAGTGCAGGTGTTGGGCATATTCGACGAGGGAGTCTGTGATGCCGGGTGTGCGTTTCTTCTTTGTTATGAGAATGTTGCGGGGTGGGGATGGCCATTGCAGGGAGAGGAGAGTGTTTTGGGGTCGTTGAATGTAGGAGGGTTTTATGCAGTGGGGGAGCTCAGAGATGGGTTTGATGAGTTGTTGGGGGAGGGTGGAGGAGAAGCTGCGCAGCTGGAGGGGGGGGCACCGCCAGGGTAGGATGCGACAGCGGACGAGGGAGTTCATGGTTGTCGCGAGGCAGTTCTAGGGTATTGTAGTTGCCGCGTAACGTTTAATGTCCTGAATGTGATTCGCACGGGATGTTAAACGGAAATTTGGGAGCCATGTGACTTGTGTATGACGCTGCCAAATAGTGGTGAGGGAGAGGGTAGTTTTGACAGGACAGCAGGAACGGGGAGGGTGATAGTGAACACTAGAGGCATTCACTCGGAGGTGTTCACCCCCATCTTGTCGAACACACGGAGATCTGGCGACTCTCACGCCTTCATCTACATTAATGGGATGTTCCGCTGCCTGGGTGAAAGCAAGCTTGGCACAGGCCCAAGCTTTGCGGCACTGTGAAAGCTACGAAGTACAGAGCGGAACTCGCTTATAGCACCCCGCACTCATTCGTCCGAGCAGGGATGTTTCTGGTCAGTGGTCACAAAGCTCCCTCGCAGGTCGAGGCGGTGCCTGCCTGGTGGTGGGATGCCGCATCAGCTCTTCTCTTCAGGTAGACCAGGCAGTGAAGGGAATACGGCCAGCATGTTCGAGCTCCTGGACTGCAGACACCTTGTCTCTAAGCCTTTGTCCTCTCGCCCTCTCTAGTGCTACCTATTCTCCCTATATGAACATCGTCATCCGCCAAACGCCATCGTGACGCCCACGTCCTTTCTCTAATTCTTAGCTCGACACCTGCACCCTCCTCCCGTCCTGGTTGTGGACTCCCGCACACCTCTTCGACTGACCATATTTCTACACCCCTACACTCCTTTCCTCATCGCCGTCTCACCCTATCCCTCCCACCATGGCCACCAACGGCCTCAAACAGCGGCTTCCGTCTGCTTCCGTACCCTCGCTCAAAGAAGAACAGAAGGAGATTGGAGATAAACACCACCCCGGAGGCGCCATCAAACATGGAACATGGGACCAAGCCCTCCGCATGCTTGTCTTTGCCTTGTACTTCAACGGAAGCTGCTTATGGTTGGTGCAACCTCATGGCTAACATATGGCATATCGCAGGACGCTAACGCCAGCCTTCAGCATATTCATGACCCAGCTCATTGGCGCCCCGCTGTACTTTTACAATAAGGATTTGTTTTATGCGTGGATGGCCATGACGAAGCAACATTTTGGGGTCGTTGCTGCCACCATGACCCACTGGTGGGCACCGACCAAGATAAGGGTAAGCGGGGATGAGAGTGTCAGAGGGCAGTTGAGAAAGACTGAGGATGGGAGGTTAGAGTGCGATTTCCCCGAGCGGATGGTGTTGGTTGCAAATCATCAGGTGGGTTGATGCCACAGTACTTTGGATGGTGTGGCGCTGATCTGGAGCAGATTTATACCGACTGGATATATCTCTGGTGGATTGCATACACCTCCAAGATGCACGGGCACCTCTACATCATCCTCAAGGAGTCGATCAAATGGATTCCTATCCTCGGCCAAGGCATGATGTTTTATGGATTCATATTCCTGTCTCGCAAGTGGGCAAAGGACAAGGAGCGGTTTCAGTATCGTCTGCGAAAGCTGAACAGTAGCCATAGCGGACCTTTATCAGGCACACATACGCTGGATCCGATGTGGTTGCTGATTTACCCTGAGGGCACGAATCTGTCATCGAACGGCAGGGTATCGAGTAAGAAGTGGGCAGACAAGACAGGAATAGATGACCTGCGGCACGCTCTGCTACCCCGCAGCACTGGTCTCCTATTCTGCCTTCTAGAGCTGAGGAAGACTGTGGATTGGATGTACGATTGCACGGTAGCATATGAAGGTGTTCCGTAAGTTGTCAAAGATGAACATTGCCTTTTTTTTTTTTTTTTCTCGTGCTCATAATCTATAGCCGCGGTCAATTCGGGCAAGACATATTCACACTTCGCTCAACATACTTCCAAGGCCGACGTCCAAAGTCCGTCAACATGCACTGGCGGCGCTTTGCGACGAAAGACATCCCAGTCAACGATCCTAAAGAGTTCGAAAAGTGGCTTCTCCTTCGCTGGAGAGAGAAAGATGATCTTCTCGAATACTATTTTCAGAATGGCCGATTCCCTGCCGATGATGGCATTGGCCCTACGGTCAACGGTGCCATTCCCGTCAAGGGCGCTGGCTATATCGAAACCGAAGTTAGAACCAAAGGCCCCTTAGAGTTCGTCCAGATCTTTATTCCGTCGATGGCGCTGGGACTGGTGATTAACGTCATCGTCAAGTTTATAAATATGGTGCTGCGTATTTTGCACATGAAGTAATTCTCCACGAAACGATTAAATGAAGCGGAGGGAGACCAATCAGCATTTCCGGTGTCTAGGGCTACAAGATCATAATGCACAGGCCCCAACAAACTTCCTCGGGGGGCCTGGTGGAGTTTCTTGGTTCTCAACTCTGAAGTTTTTCATGTTTACGACAACTGATGAGGGGGACCGGGCTGGGTGTACGGATCTGTTTGAAGGCATTTTTGAGTGGGGGTTTTTTTGGTTCTCAACGTACAAGGCTTTATACCCTATTCATATGAGACGGTTTCTATGTCGGCTTGTTAGAGGCCAAGGTCATTCTATTTGGCCTACTTTTGCTATCGTAAACAGCGTCGTGCCTGCAATTGTTTACCACATATGCACTCTTGCTATTAGTTTGCTTTAAAAATTGCGATGCGGAGGATTCAGGATTGGGGGATGAAGTGCAGGTGAGCGCTTCGCGACTTCCTGGGGTGTATGGGGGGCTGATATGCACCTCCTTCCATAGGCGTAATTGGAGAAATACGCGCCCTCGCGCTTAACAAACACCCATCGGGGTACCCGTAACCCATTCCTCTCCAGGATTGTTTCAGCAACCACCAACATAGCATGATGCCAGGCCAGTGCTTTTCAGCCAGTTGCCTTAGCATCGGGGCGGTCATTGTTGCAGTACTATAACTTTTCCACGACGCCAGCGCTTCCCTAGTCCTCTTCAATGCTAGCTGCCTTTCCGGACGGTCTCCCACACGATGAAAGCCTCACTTACAACAACCAACGCCAAGCGGATTCTTAATGGACATGGTTGCTGGGTTTGGGAAGCCGTTTCTGTTATCGCAAGTCTTCTGACCCAAGTCGCTATTATTGGTATTCTCCTCTCGATGAACGGGAAACCATTGTCAAATTGGACTGCGCCAATATCACTCAACGCCACCATCTCTATTCTTACTACTGCGAGCAAGTCGTTGCTTCTATTGTCTGTGGCTGAGTGCATCAGCCAGTCGAAATGGATCTATTTCACCAAACCGCGACGGATGTTTGATTTCGACCTTTTTGACTAGGCTAGTCGAGGCCCGCTTGGAGCCTTACAGCTACTCTCAAACCCACAGACTGTCACGACAATGGCTTCTTGGGGCGCTGTTATTACGCTTCTGAGTCTTGCCCTGGACCCCTTTGCCCAGCAAGTCGTCAGTCTGAAGCAGCAAGCGGTATCTATAGGACCAGACACTGCCTCGATTCCCTATAGCTGAGTTTACGATAATAACGGTGCGTCTAACCTGAAATTTCGACGCATTATCTATCTTTCGTACCGCTCCCTTATCCATTTCTTGCTGCAGCGCTGACATTGCTGGACCAGGTATCGGCGAGGATGCCGAAATGTTTGGAGCAATTCTGAACGGCATATATGGACTCAACACTACTACACCGTTTGATTGTCTATCTTCAAACTGTACCTGGCCCGACCAACACACTACTCTCGGATTTAAGAGCATTTGCAGAAATGTAACCGAACAAGTCTCGCCCGTATGCTTCTCTAGTAATGGAACGATATATCCGGAACCGGATTTAAATAATACGCTTCTCGAACAAAGATGTAATATAACTACTCCCGGCCAAGTCATGATACAGAGTGTATTCCTGCCAAGCTTCTACCGAACAGCAATCAACGTGTCGTCAACCCTTCGCTGTGAAGCGTACAATCAATGCGTCCTTGATGGAGCGTTTTTGAACCAGCCTTCAATGATATCGAGGTTTGCAGTATTCAGGAACTCTGGCCAAAATGTAAGTTCAGATCGGTATACTAAATTAATATCGTTGAAAGCGTGGCTGAGAAATTGCCACGAGTAATACTTCGCAATGAATATAGCTGGACTACGACTAGAGCCATTCTTAGCTCCACTTCAAAGCGCAGTGCTAATATTGTATATCTTCTCTAGGAACAAAGAGTCGACAGAATCGTTCTTTGGGAAGTGGCCGAGTGCAACATCTCCGCTGTAGCTTACACGTACTCGAGTGTGTCTGTCCACAACAACCAGTTTATGGCCGGCCTAATCAAAACTAGCCCTTTGGTGGCCGTTACAAGCATCTCCGACAATCGTACTCAATCCCCATACTCGTCGCTTAATCTTACCACTGTGAATGCATCTCAGACTTTTACAGTGAACTCGGTCGATTGGTACGCTGTACACCGATTCCTGAGGACCATGGTCTTTAAGGGCAGCAGTCTGGTCGGGTATAAGGGGGTGCTAACTGAGCTGAATTTTGGCGCTACCCTACTTCACAAAGCCGATATCGGTAAAGTTACCTCCAACATCGCCCTCGGCATGACCAATCGAATCCGCACGGGGCTTAATAGCACGGTTGCTCATGGAGCATCTTTGCGCGACGAGCCATTCGTGGTAGTCCAGTGGATATGGTTAGTCCTTCCTGTATTCACAGTCCTGGCATCGACGGTGTTCCTCCAAGTTACCGTTGTTCTTAACCAAATGCACGATGCGGTCTTATGGAAGTCGTCGAGCGTGGCTCTGCTGTCTCGCCAGATTCCCGACTGGAGTCTTCAGGTCCCTGAAAATTTGACCAGCCAGGTGGAATTAAAGGCGGCTGTGAAGAGTGTGAGGCTGGTGCTGTCTAAGGATCAGAATCTATGTCTGGTCGACACTGATTGCTCAAAGAAATTTAGCATACTGGAAGTTTGGACATGTTGGAAGGTAGTGACAGAGCTGAGGTTCAGGAGATGTGAATGGAGACTTATATGCACATCCTTTTGACCAGCTACTGAAAACCTGCAGGATTTTAGAGTGACCGTGGTCATTATCATTGAGTGCCGGTTTGGGGCTTAGGAAGGTATGCTTACACATCTTACATCCGTTAGAACTAAACTCATCCAACGCTGTCGATTCACTAACTTCTAATTAGATACTAAGAAACGTTATTGCTAAATAGATTTGCTGAATACACCTCCTTCGCCTACTCATTTACACAAAGTAATTCCCTCTTTACTTACACCCGTAACCTATTAGAATGTTCATGTCGCAGGCCCAAGCCAAGCGTGCTATTCTCCTCGCTATAGGGTGCTGGTTCTTATTTAGCCTCTGGTAAATCTGCATCCGAATAGTCTTCAGAGTCGGCAGTGGCGTCTTGATCTGGAGCGGTCGTGTTAGTGCCGCCGCTGAGGAGCCATCGCTTGAAGTCGTGGAGTGTTTCGGGGTCGGGGAAGTCATCAGGGGAGAAATATGATGGGTAGTCGTCGTCCCCGTCGTACAGTCTCTCCTCATCAGCTTGTGCTTCATCACTTGAGAAGTCCTCTCTTCTAGGTGGTTTTTCGGACGAGAAAGCGCCACTGAATCATAGGTTCCACTCACTATCCTCCACCGTGAGAAGCGCCAGCGCCTTGCTCCTCTTTCTCATTCTCTACCTCCACGAACGGAAACCACTCTACAACCGACACCGCCATGCGGATATTCTTGTAGCGTCCTGCATCTTCGCAGAACTGCGGGTAGATGCATCGCAAAGCCTTAGAGCCTTAATCACATTCGGCTCTCTCGGCTTGCCACCCCGGAAACAAACTGCTGGCATTGGACACGGAGCTGGGCGAGTTCTCGCTCTTGTTGCGGGGAGGAGAATGCTATCTCGGAGCGGAGTTGACCGATTTCGTCGCGCAGGGTTGTTTGGCACCGGATCTGGAGTTGGATTTTGTCTTGCGCTTTAACGACATCTTGTTGGAGGATGGCGACAATATCTTTCAGTATGGGGTTCTCTGCTGTCAGGCCCTTCTTCTCCTTTGTAAGGCCGTCTATCTCGCCTTGGAGATTGATGCAATAGATCTCAGAATACTGCGAAGTTATAGCGATTTTTCACTCTCTATTCTCCCGCTTTAATTGTACAGTAAAAGCCTCTTCCCTCCTTACTCGCTGCTCACAATATTCTTGCAGGTTCTGAAGATTGTCCTTGAGGTGGACGTTCTCCTTTTATACCTCTTTTAATTTTGCTCTCAGCGATAGTGGACTCCGTGACGATTGCTTCTCGCAGCTCTCGTAACCGACGACGAAGGCCGTCGACTTCTGATCCCCGAGAGGCTTGTGTTGAGGCAACTTGTTGGTTGAAACCCTTCTCAATAGACCTTGGCCTAATGTCGAAGCTAATTTTCGCCTCCAGGAGCTATTCTTCTATCTCTGCAATGGTATTTGGGTCTTGTGAATTGCTAGAGGCTTACATTGGAGGATACAGGGGCATACGGCGTCATGGGGAACATAGCTTGGTAGCTGATTTGCTAGAGCTGCTTGTCAGTGTTGAGGGGGTAAGTCCGAGGGCAGCGATACTTGGCATTTTTGAGATCATCTCGGCTGCGAAGGAAGGGGTGGTTGGCGGAGTGGCGGGTATGTTGAGTATGTATGTGTGCAGTTAAAATAGTTGCACTTAGAGGTGAAGTAGTGTACTAGTATCAAATTCGAAGTCGAAGTTGATGTTACGGTGGTTGTGATTGTGGTTATGTCGACTACGTATATTGTATGGTACATGGGAGGAGTTAAGAAGGAAGGGAGAGAAAGCTGTTGTGAACACATCTGAAAAGCCCACCAGTTCATCCAGGGTCTCAGAAATTCTATTATGAATCTGAGATCACGATACTGAACAACGAATTCAAGCCACCATCAATTTCCACCCATTTCTCTTAGAACACCGAGTTGAAGGATAACGGAGTGACCTGAATGACCACATAGCAGTAACGAATGGCGGCGAATATTCACATCGACATGATGTTCTCCATCCCACTAACTACCGTAAATTCATGAGATCATCAATCTCTCTGTTCTGTCTCATGCCCACCCAACCGTAATATAAAACGGAGTAAAATAATGCGGCTAAATGAGGCCGTGAGATGATACGAAAAAATTGTTGAGCGACTATATAACAGTGGTCCTAGTCCAAAAAGAAATATATGCTATTATCGCATTTGTTTTCCATAATAATGGAAAACAGTGGAACCGAGGGGGAAAGATAGCTGGAACCCCGATATCAGAGCACACGCAAACGAATATGAGATTGGACTAAAAACTTGGGTGTTGAAGCACGATGAAAGGGAACAGAAGGTTTTTAGAATGCTACTTAGAATAAAAATATTAAAGCTCTGGATTTTCTAAACTTGAGGGGATTATATAGAGAGACAGACATTTGCAATAGGTAGAATTAAGATGATTCCTTTACCAATTAATGGCTTTCCCTTCGTACAGGAAAACGCCCTGCGCCGGAAAATATGCGGGGTACTTGAACTTTAAACATGTACTACTCCACGTCCACATTACAGTCCTTAGAAGGCTCTTGTAGACTCTATACTAGGCCTTCTATAAGCCTTCCTGACTGGTTGTCTACGATTAATTACACTTGTGTGGGTGACTATTGTGCCTAGAACACAGAGAGCTGTATCTGACGGCAAAATAGTTGGTCTTTAATATAGCGACACGGCAAAGTTTTATCGCCTATAACACGAACTATAACGCCTTGTTTGGCCATGAGAGTCTTGCGTTTAAGGGCGGAAGTTGTAGTAGCCTTGTGTGATAGAGACGGCGAAGGTGATAAGCTACAAGCACCTTAACAAGGCTTACGCAGCACGCGCAGCTAAGGAGAAAGCTGCTGCTGGTAAGAGTAAAGGCAAGCGCAGCTGTAAGCGTAAAGTGTCTGCACAAGAAGAGGGTAATTTTAAGAGCAATTTTAAGGGCGACGCTAATGCTAATACGCAAGAGGTGGGCTTGTCAGTGCCTACTTTAAGGGATAAGAGGGCGAGGAGGAGCAGTGTCTAGGACCTAGAGCTATAGAAGGCACTAGTAGCGAAGATGCATTAGTTAAGTTAGCAATGTAGTTAATGTTGTTTAAGTACTGTAGAGATTTAATATCCTGTTTGCATTAAGAGGGATATCTCTAGTCTTTCTGCTAGCTGCGCTAAGCACAGCTATAAGCCTAACAGCCACAGGCGGGGCACAAGAATAACAAAGGTATAAATTACAAGGAATGATTAATTTGGCGGTATGATATAGTTCCAAGGTATCCGAAAGTGGTGCTAGCTTAGATCGCATCACTTTGCTTACTACAGCAAACTAGTGACTGTGTTAATTGTTGTATCTTAGCTTTGCTATTAATTATATACAGTAATTAGTTGTGGTCTTAGAGGAGGCTTTGTTTAGCAAAGGATATTTTAGCGACGCTTATAAGATTCTGTACAAACCTTTGTAGACGTTGTCTACTTAATGTAGACAGGTTGTCTAAAGCTAGTCATTAGTAACAATAACATAACAAAAGCTTTCTCCTCCTCTATAGTAAGGTATTACTAGCGTTGTGCTGTTTCCTCTTTAAAAAGATGCTCTTAATATTAGTAGTATAGTGTAGTAAAGACGATGCTATTAGAATTAGATTAAGTAGCCTATGTTCTACTATTATTTAAAGAAGCCTCTAAAAGTGATTTGCTAGCTGGGTTTATCTTAACAATTATAGTAGTGTCTACAACACAGGCAACAACTAGCGGCATTGCACTCTCTATGTAACGGCGCAGGCAAGACAATGGGTCCGAATGCGGTGGGAGTCCACTCAGAGGCATATGGGAGTGCGTGGGGACTCTGAACCTGGGAATGCCATTGACACCTATAGGCCTTGTACGAAAGGATATCAGAAAACTACCGAGCTAGCTACGGGGGCGAGGTGCGACTAAATACATGAGGGAATAGGGGTAACAGCAGGGGGCCGGGCAGAGTCGAGTCAGGGTCGAGCCAGGGTCGGAGCCGATACGGAGACCCTTCGGATAGGTTCCGGGCGACCCGAGATGGGACGATTCATGAGAATCGTTACACTCTAAGCTAACTATAGATGCTTTTAGAATAGCGCTACATAGGATACTGCTTTTAGGCTAGTATAATTTACAGTACTTAAGCACGTGTTCTAGCATAGGGTTACATAAGCTCGCTAAATCTAGCATGCTTAAGAGCGCCCTAGCATCCTAACACAGATTAATTAGATAGTACTATTACTAGATACTAGCATCTTAAAAGCTTTAGAAAACCCCCTTTGAATCCTTAGTTAGTATAGAGTCTCTAAGCTCTAAAGATCTAAACGTAATTATGAGTGAATAGGGGTGTGAAGCTTTCGCGATTCTGTAGCGCTGTGTAAGAAATGATTGGCAGCACGAAACAGGCAGGTATTTTCTAGTTGAGCGATAGCGTTACAAAGAGCATCTCTTAGAGGATAGAACGTCTTTGATGAGAAATAAATAGACCATGAGGCTGAGAGAGATAGAAGACCGATATAGAAATCTTATTCCTGCACACCGGGTTTTCCGAGAGGCAGGGAGGGATGTTAGTTCGTGGATGTGGAGACGAGCAATCACGATGGCAAGACGATGTTGAGACCCAAGGTTGACGTCCAGATTCGCTGACTAACAATCAGCCACTTAGCCATGTCCGGCCTGACAACGTTGGAACCCGATGGCCACGTGAAAGATTCCACAACCTTCCGAGGCCTCATGCTGAGTAACAAATGAGGGATAAAAACGTGCCGAAAAGTAGGCTTCATTCGTTACACTACCTATCAGAGTGGAAACAATATCCGAATGTCAGAGAAGCACTGAAAGTTAAAATAGTTAAATACTCTGAAATCCCAGACCTGATTGACGCCGCCCGATATGGATTCATTGAAGACTTGAGAAAGAAAAGAGACCCCGTTCATCGTGATCAAAGCAAACGCCAATTGAACCCAATCTCTACTCAGTTGATTATCCCCCCCGGGAGCAACAATGCCGCAACATGTAGTCTTAGTCTTCCATAGCTCCTTATCCGTGATTGTGGGCCTGAGATGAAAGGAGATATGTGTTAGTGATTCAATGCAATATAGTTAAGCAATAAGAGAGATCCCCCTTTACGCTTCCGCTACGCTTCCCCAAAGAGACGGGCTGTGATATCACCCATGTATGCTTCCTCCAGCTCGTAGTCTTCACCGCCCATCTTATCAATACCCACGTATTCAAAGGCGGCGACGACGCTTTCGACGTCGAAGCCCATTGCGACGAAGCGGTCGATGAGATCTTTGTTGTAGCCGTGATACCTGTTCGCAGCGTCAATGATTGGTGCTCATCTCGAGGAAAGGTGACGTACGCGGCGAGCTTGACCTTCTCCTCGTTCTCTTTTGCTTGCTGGGCCTTTCGCTTGATTGACTCTGCTGTGGCTCCGCCGCTCCCCTCTCCCCGCTCCTTCTTGGGTGCACCAGCGAACTTAACGGCCCAATCGCGGGCGACGTGCTCGAACTCGGAGGGATTCCGGATCAACATGGTGGCGACTTCGGCGTCTTGTGGGTCTTTGGGTTCTGGCGTGCTAAGGAGAGACTGCAGGGAGATGAGGGCGGACTTGATGGTGAGGACGGGCGACCACTGAGAGGAGAGAGTATCTAGGCAGATGGCGCCCTACGAAGATGTTAGCAATAGACCACAGTTATAGTACTGCACTGCCACTTACCGTCTGGCTAGAGACGTTGGGATGCCATATCTTCGTCTCGAACCTCATATTCGGGGGTCGGAAGGGGTATTCGCCCGGGATCTTGATGTCGACATAGTAGGTACCGCCCTCGTACGGGGTGTCGGGAGGGCCTTGGAACTGTCCGCGGAGATGGGTAAGGTCATCGCCGTTCCCTGCTGGGTCTACAATGATCTTGGAGAGTGTATCGGCTTTGATGTCGGCGATCTCCTTCGCAATTCGACGAGCACGATTGGACGCCATCGCGGGTGAGTGTTTCGAAGGTTGGTGGGGGAGGTTTGGAGTCGGGAGAAAGAAGGGGGAGGGAAGGGGGAATAAGTAGGCAGCAAGCCTGGGCTAAACCTAAAGTTAAACAATGTCAGCCTGAGGCTCATGAAGGCGCCGGCTAGGGCGTTGAATGAGTCAAATCAGGTGAGAACAAAGCAAGCCGCAGTACAGTGAACCGTCGCTTCCAAGGGCGGAAAGAGAAGAGGGAGCTCACTCACAATGTCGTTGGGTGTCGGGAGGTGAGTTGGGTCGTGAAGATGTCGGATGAGCCTGCCTGCGTGGGGAAGGTTGGAGCTTGCTTTCACCGGCGGGGCTGTGTCGCTCTTAAGTAGTCACAGTTGCTTGTGGAGCTGTTGGGAGTACCGAGCAGAGAGTGTTCGATCAAATAGCGGCCGTTTCGGCGTGTTCAAGTGAAAGTGATTTCTTCGACGTGTCTCGCTTTCTGTGGATAAGTGAGGCGTGGAGCGCTCTGAGGGCTCCGCATCATCGCACGTGACGGCGCTAACGATTGTCCGAAGCTGTCACCTAGCTCCGTTCCCATCAACGTTACAAACACCCCCATTCCCTCACCATCACCGCCCTGTCTCACAACGCCCCTGTGCCGAACTTCATTCTACACACCTCACCTCGCAACCCCCACACCATTCTCTGGCGAAACTGCGAAATCTGTCATGGTATGCCTACCTCCTTACACGTTCGACTTCTCTCCGAGCTCCCTTGCTGACTCTCTATAGGGCAATCAACAGTCGAGTGCTGGAGGAGGACCTCCAGGCGGAGATGGCAAAGACAAGAAAGACAAGGTTCGTGAAACCAGCATCATAGAGCCTCCTGTGTTTCTCGACACGACGCCTCACTGTCGGCCCCGATACTAATACCGTGCCTTGCAGAAGGATAAGCCCAAGTACGAGCCTCCGCCACAGCCAACGACGCGCATCGGAAGGAAGAAGAGAAAGGCTGCCGGGCCAAGCGCTTCTGCAAAACTCCCCACCGTCTACCCGACTGCGCGATGCAAGCTACGATACCTGCGGATGCAGCGCATCCACGACCATCTTCTGTTGGAGGAGGAGTACGTGGAGAACCAAGAACGCATCCGCAAGGCTAAGGCCGTAAACACATCCGCGCCTGCAAGTGCTGGAGGAGACTCTGACGCTATCGATCGAAACGCCGACGAGAGGTCGCGAGTGGATGACATGCGAGGTAGCCCCATGGGCGTCGGTAATTTAGAAGAACTTATTGACGACGACCACGCCATCGTCTCCAGCGCTACTGGCCCCGAATACTACGTCTCGATCATGTCTTTCGTCGACAAGGATCTGCTGGAGCCTGGAGCCAGCATCCTGCTACATCACAAGTCCGTTTCGGTGGTTGGCGTCTTGACTGATGACGCCGACCCCTTGGTCTCGGTCATGAAGCTGGACAAAGCACCGACGGAATCATACGCGGATATTGGGGGTTTGGAACAGCAGATCCAGGAGGTCCGCGAGGCCGTTGAGCTCCCTCTCCTTCATCCGGAGCTGTATGAGGAGATGGGCATCAAGCCACCGAAAGGTGTCATTCTCTACGGCGCCCCAGGCACTGGCAAGACTCTTCTGGCGAAGGCCGTGGCGAACCAAACTAGTGCGACCTTCTTGCGAATTGTCGGTAGCGAGCTGATCCAGAAGTACCTGGGTGATGGACCACGACTTGTGCGCCAGCTCTTCCAGGTGGCAGCAGAACATGCTCCTTCCATCGTCTTCATTGACGAGATTGATGCCATCGGGACGAAGCGTTACGAGTCAACTTCCGGAGGCGAGCGCGAGATTCAGCGTACTATGTTGGAGCTTCTCAACCAACTCGATGGCTTTGATGACCGCGGTGATGTCAAGGTCATTATGGCTACGAACAAGATTGAAACCCTTGATCCCGCTTTGATACGACCTGGTCGGATTGACAGAAAGATTCTCTTTGAGAACCCCGACCGTATGTGCACATTTTTTCTTCTATCATCAGTGTCATAGTTAACAACTTTGCAGAGACGACCAAGAAGAAGATTTTCACGCTTCACACTTCCAAGATGTCTCTCAATGAGGATGTCGATCTCGATGAGTTCATCAGCCAAAAGGACGATCTCTCTGGCGCCGATATTAAAGCTATCTGTTCCGAAGCAGGCTTGATGGCTCTCAGGGAACGCCGGATGAGGGTGCAGATGGAAGACTTCCGTACCGCTAGAGAGCGTGTGCTGAAGACTAAGAGCGAAGGAGAGCCCGAGGGCTTGTATTTGTAGATGGGACTGATGATATCTGACATAACTTCCAGTGGTAACTCCTTTGGGCACCGGCAGTTTTTAATAGTAGCTAGAGCACAAGAAGGGAGTGTAGTCGATAGCTTTTTGAAGCATATAAAGTCCATCCCTGTGGTTCGAACAACCCCCCGCACTGAACCAGATCCCTCGTTCACGCACTTTGCACCTCAACACTGAGGGTGGACAACGCTAAATTTAGTTTAATAACATTCCCGAGACATCTCTCCTAATCTAAGTCCGCAGCACGAAAATTACGGCGGTCTTAGGCATGCTGTCAACCATTCCATCTACAGCGACAGAGGCTATACTATCTGTGTATCCCTGCTACTGCACTATTGGCTATATAAATTATTACTTTAGCGTAATTAAACAACAGTCTCTTTGTCCTAGAAGACACCCAGGTTTCTAAAATGTGTAGCTTTTACTAAGAGCACTTAAAGTTTATCTGTGGGTATAGGCAAGCTTGCGCGTTTTAGAGCTAACGTAATTCACCACTAAGCTGCGCACCTGTTATGATATCTTACCTCAACTTTCCTGTTGCCAGGTGTCTCCAGACGGTAACGGGGTCGTAAAGGGGAGAAAGAGGATTATAAGAAGTGGGGTGACAGAGTGAGAGAGCCACGTGATACTTCTCTAACTTACAACAGTGCAAGAAGGGTGTACAGTCCTCTATACAATCTAGTAGAGAGTATAGTAAGAGAGGAGGTTAGTAAAGAAGAAGTAAAGTAAAGAAAGAAAGATAACTAACGTACTTTACAGGCAAGTTGCTTACTTTTACTAAGACCTTACTAAACTACTTTTCTTACACTAATGCATTTCTAATAACACTACTTAAACATGCTAAAAGAATATTAGATATAGCTTACACTTTAAGCTTTTAAATAAAACATAAAACTTTTAAAGAAACATGCTATAGCTATATATAAAGTCTTAAAAAAATAATAAATAACTATAACACTAGATAACCTTTATAAGCTAATTCTATAGCTAACTTATAAAGGCTAGGTAATAATAAAAAGTAGGTGATTATTAAAGCTATACTTAAGCTATATACATAAGGATTTTCCCCTTAGATAGCATTTATAGCTAATATAGCTAATTCTTTACACGCTAAGCATAATCTAGGTGTAACAGCACAGGCAAGACAATAGGTCTAAATGCGGTGGGAATCCACTTAGAGGCATATAGGAGTGCGTGGGGACTCTAAACCTAGGAATGCCATTAACACCTATAGGCCTTGTATAAAAGGATATTAGAAAACTACTAAGCTAGCTACAGAGGCAAGGTGCGACTAAATACATAAGGGAATAGGGGTACAGCAGGGGGCAGGGCAGAGTCAGGGCTAGGTCGAGGTCAGGGCTGATACAAGGGCCTTCCAGAGGTTCTAGGCGACTTGAGATGGAACGATTTATAAGGATTGTTACACTAGGCTATATTAGCATAAACTAGCCTAGTATATTTATAAAGTGTTATTTAAAGCTTAAAATAAAGTTTTAAGTATAAGTATAGTTAATAAATATTTAGCTTAATGTACTTTACAGGCAAGTTGCTTACACACCTAAGTTGCTTACTTTTGCTAAGACCCTACTAAACTACTTTTTCTACACTAATGCATTCCCTATAACACTACTTAGACGTGCTAAAAGAATGTTAGATATAGCTTACACTCTAAGCTTTTAAATAAAACATAAAACTTTTAAAAAAATATACTGCAGCTATGTGTAGAGTTCTATAAAAAAATAATAAATAACTATAGCACTAGATAACTTTTATAAGCTAATTCTATAGCAAAATTATAAAGGCTAGGTAATAAAAAAAAGTAGGTAATTATTAAGACTATACTTAAGCTATATGCGCAAGGAATTTCCCCTTAGATAGCATTTATAGCTAATATAGCTAATTCTTTGCGCGCTAAGCGTAATCTAGGCTATGTTTACATAAATTAGCCTAGTATATTTATAAAGTGTTATTTAGAGCTTAAAGTAGGAAACAAAATGATTCTCGAGCTACTGCTAAGAACTGGAAAGCTCGATACCAACGCAACGGACAACGACGGATGGACGCCGCTGATGTGGGCCGCAGAGAACGGACATAAAGACATAGTTGAGCTGCTGCTAGGCACTGACAAGGTCGATGTTGACGCAAAGAATAACAACGGATCGACGCCGCTGACGTGGGCCGCACAGAATGGATGTAAAGACATAGTCGAGCTGCTGCTAGGCACTGACAAGGTCAATGTTGACGCAAAGGACAACTACGAATGGACGTCGCTGATGTGGGCTGCACAGAACGGACATAATGACATAGTCGAGCTGCTGCTCGGCACTGACAAGGTCGATATTGACGCAAAGAGCAAGTACGGATCGACGCCGCTGATGTGTGCCGCACAGAAGGGACATAAAGACATAGTCGAGCTGCTTCTAGGCACTGAAAATGCCGATACTGACGCAAAGAACAACGACGGATCGACGCCGCTGAAGTGTGCCGCACAGAACGGACATAAAGACATAGTCGAGCTGCTGCTAGGCACTGACAAAGTCGATGTTGACGCAAAGGACAACTGCGGATCGACGCCGCT